TTTTTTTTTCTGCTTATGTGGTGCTGAGGAATCGAACCCAGGGCCTCAAGCATGCAAGGCAAGTGCTCTACCACTGAGCCACCTTCCCAGCCCGTCCCTAGTTCTTATGATCAAGGCTAGTGCTCTATCACTTGAGCCACAGCTCTACTTCCCCTACCCCCACTTTGGTAGTTAATCAGATAAGAGTCTTACATACTTTCCTTCCTAGGCTGGCTTAGAACCATGATCCTCAGATCTCAGCCTCCTGAGTAGTTAGGATTACAGGCATGAGCCACCAGTGCCGCCCAGCCAAATGTAATATATATATATATATTTTAAGTAAGGATAAATGGGCCAGGCGCTAGGATTAGCTACTCAGGGGACAAAGCTGAGGACAGAAAGTTGGTGAGTCTATCATCTCCAGTTAACCAGCAAAAAGAAAAGAGCTGGAAGTGGCTGTGGCTCAAGTGGTAGAGCGCCTAGCCTTGAGCTGAAGAGCTGAGGGACAGCGCCCAGACCCAGAGTTCAGGCCCCACGACCGGACCCAAAAAAAAAAAAAAAAGAGTCTCATGGACTTTCCTGCCCAGGCTGACTTAGAACTGTGATCCTAAGATCTCAGTTTCCTGAGCAGCTAGGATTACAGGTGTGAGCCACCAGTGCCCGGCACTTCTGGCTTTTTCTGTTGATATGGTACTGAGGAATGGAACTTGGGGCTTCATGCATGCTACACAAGCACTCTACCACTAAACCACATTCCCAGTACCTATATTTGTTTTTTATGTGTTATATTTTTTGGTTACTATTATGATATGTGAATTCATTTTCAATGCCTTCTTTTGTGTTTCTTAGTTAGCAGGAAGATGAGCCTCAAGTCTGAACGCCGAGGAATACATGTGGATCAGTCAGAGCTCCTCTGCAAGAAAGGATGTGGCTACTACGGCAACCCTGCCTGGCAGGGCTTCTGCTCCAAGTGTTGGAGGGAGGAGTACCACAAAGCCAGGCAGAAGCAGATTCAGGAGGACTGGGAACTGGCAGAACGGTAGGAATAGCCCACTGAGTGTTAACAGTGATATAGCAGGCACACAGTGATAGAGCTGGCCTGTCATTGCCACACACCTTGCTCCATCTGCTTTGAACCACCAGTTTAGTCAGCATGATAGTAAAAGAAATGAGTTCGCCTTTCTTCTCAGTCACCATTTAATGAGTTGCTTCCAGCAAATTTTTCATTATGTGTTTGGTTTTCTTTCTGATTCTTTTATGGTTGAGTTGTGTTAGTCTTTGTTCCCTTATTAGGCAGTATGCTCTGAAGTAGAACTGTTTCATTATATGGTAATTATGTATCTCTTTCTCCAGTCCCACTTTGAGCTTTTTAAGGAAAAGGACTAGGTTTTGTTTCAGGTAACCCTAATATAGTGACTTCATGACCATGATGGAGAAGGTTCTGTTTGAAGTCTGTAAAAGCATGCAAAAACAGTTTTCTGTTCTAGCTGACTTATCAGAGACTTCAGACCTACTTAATATATTTAGTGGCTTTTTATAAAATTTTTGGGTCTTCCTCAGTTAATTGAATGGTAATCTTTAGGTTCAAGGAAAGCTTGGAGAATGTCCAGGTTATTCATAGTCTTCTCTTGAAATTTCAGACTTCAGCGGGAAGAGGAAGAGGCCTTTGCCAGCAGTCAGAGCAGCCAAGGAGCCCAGTCTCTCACATTTTCCAAATTTGAAGAAAAGAAAACCAATGAAAAGACCCGCAAGGTTACAACAGTGAAGAAATTCTTCAGTGCTTCTTCCAGGGTTGGATCCAAGAAAGGTCCTTTTTTTTTTTTTT